TTTTCTTTTTTTTTTTTTTTTTTTCCCCCTGGATTTCTTTCCTTTACTGATTTTTCCCTAAAAAAATGGTTTCCCAAACCCCGTGGCCCGGTTGTGCCCTCCCAGGAGGGTGCTGAGCGGGGGGGGATGCTGCCCTGGGGACAGGCACGGATGGAGGGCTCGGTGGTGGCTTAGTGCTCGCCGAGGCTGGTGGTTGTGGGGTGCCCAGAGGCTCGGAGGGGTTTCAGGGTGGTGGGAAGAGCCCCTTTGTGGAATATTGCAGAGGGATGAGCAAGGGATGCTCCCACCCATGGGTGCCCTTGGTGTTTTGGGGTGAAAGCACCGCAAAATACACCCAGAAGGGTGCTGGTGCCTCCCAGGCTGGAGGAGACCACGGTGACTTCCTAGGCTGGATTTTTGATGGTTTATCCCAAGGGTGGGCTTCCCCTCCCACCTCCCCCAATGTCTTGGAGGGTTTTGTGAGTGGGGGATAAACCAGGTCCCCACAGGGACCCTCAGTTGTCCGAGCTTGAGAAGCCACTGGGTCCTCTGTGTCACTGGGGCAGGACAGCATGGGGGTCCCACAGCCCCGGAGGGGATCAGCGATGAGACCCGATGGCTGCGGCGAGGGGCTGGAGAAGGAATTCATCCTGCTGCGAGGCTGCACGGGCTGATCTAGCAGGTCTGGGTCACCCTTTGCTTGGAGAAGGTGGCTCCCAGCACCATGGCCCCAGAGTCAGACACAGGGGTGCTCCTGGGGCCTGGAGACCCCTGGCACTGCAGGGGCTCATTGCGTGGTGGTTGGGCAAGAAAGCACATGGGTCACCCCTCCGTGGCAAGCTCAGGGTGGATGGAGGGAGATTTCCCATGGGTTGTCCACCTTCCTGATGGCTGTGCTCCTCCTGAATGGTTGTGAACCTTATCAACGGTTGTGCACCTTCCCAAGGGGTGGGAGACCTTCCCAATGGCTATGGACCTTCCCAGGGGTTGCACACCTTTCCAAGAATTATGCACCTTTCCAAGGGTTGTGGATCTTCCCAAGGGTTGTGGGTCTTCCCAAGGGCTGTAGATCTTCCCAAGGGTTGTAGATCTTGCCATGGCTTGTGGATCTTCCCAGGGGCTGTGGGTCTTCCCAAGGGCTGTAGATCTTCCCAAGGGTTGTGGGTCTTCCCAAGGGCTGTGCACATTCCCGAGGGTTGTGGACTGTCCCAAGGGCTGTGGGTCTTCCCAAGGTTTGCAAACCTTCCCAAGGGCTGTAGATCATGCCATGGGTTGTGGATCTTCCCACAGGCTGTGGGTCTTCCCAAGGGCTGTAGATCTTCCCAAGGGTTGTGGGTCTTCCCAAGGGCTGTGCACCTTCCCAAGGGTTGTGGACTGTCCCAACGGTTGTGCACCTTCTTGAGTGTTGTGTACCCTCCCAAAGGTTGCGCATGAGTGGGAGGAACACGGGAGGGGAGGATGGAGGCAGAGAGGGGACCAAGAAGAAGGGCCAAGGAGGGACTTCTGGGGACCCGCCGTCCCTGTATCACTAACCCCATATTTCTTCTAGTGCCTGGCACTGGCCGATGCTGACATCCCCCCCCTAGACTCATCGGACCCTCCACTGCCATCCCAGGGCTCCCTCCCCGCCATGCCCCAGCAGAGCTGCAGCCCCACCGCCCGGGGGTCCCCAACCCATCCCCCGTGCCACCAGTCCGTCCATCCCGCGCCATGAGCGGGGCCGTGCGGTTCCCCTGCTTTGGGGCACGTAGCTGAGGGATGGCCTCGCTGGACCTGCCCTACCGGTGTCCGCGGTGCGGGGAGCACAAGCGCTTCCGCAGCCTCTCCTCGCTGCGGGCGCACCTGGAGTACAACCACACCTATGAGACCCTCTACGTCCTCTCCAAGACCAACAGCATCTGCGATGCTGCCGTCTTCCCCCTGGCCACCGACGGGTCCCTGCTGACGCCGGCTGCCCGGCGGGACTACTTTGAGAGCACCTCCTTCCAAGGCAAGGACCAGCGCTTCTCCTGTGACCTTGTCCCTGCTGAGGAGCTGGAGCCGGCCCCGTCCTCCTCCCCCTCGCCCCGCTATGTCCACGAGATCGAGATCCCGCTGACGGAGATCTTCACCCGGGGCAAGGCCGTGGCGCCGGCCCCCACGCCACCGGCCACTATGGACGCTGCCTACGAGGAGGGCTTGGCCCGCCTGAAGATCCGCGCCTTTGAGACGCTGGAGGTGGACAAGCGGCTGGGGGG